CATGTCCTAACATGACCTGCTGGTACAAAACCACTTAAGACCATTTCCTGGCCTGAACTTCGGCCAGAGAAACAAAACCTCAGAACAGGTACACGTTATCTCCTTCTACATACGTAATCTAGAGCTCTTTATTTAATTATTTTGTATCCAACTGTGTGCATCAGCCGACTGTGTTTGCCCTCCTCTGCAGTGCTGAGAGACTGAACACACCTGCAGCAAAAAGGTCTCAGGTGAGGGTGTAGTCTATTGCCTGGGCAACCGGGAAAAACACTGGCTGTTTGGAGACTCACAAACACTCACGTTTTATCGCCTTGTTTGTGCAGGTCGCCGAATATTACACAGAAACGGCAACAAAAACACGGAAAGGCAGACACAAGAGGAAGGAGAGGCAGGTTGGCTTTGTTTAGTGTTTTAAACCCACAGGTTTCTGCAGAACTCTTCTTCCGTGCATGAAAATGTTTGGGTTTCCTTGCTGGGGGTAGTAAGCACGTTTAGGAAGAAAGAGCGACTTCCACAGCTGAAGTCTTCAAAGTGAAACCTCTCTTCTTCTTTAAGTGGTGTCTCCTTCCAGAAAATCACATGTGGAAGCAGTTTCACCCTAACCTTCTTTACCGCTGCTGGCCTCATGCCATCTGGCTTAAGTGATGAGATTAGTCACATGAGACATTTACAAATTATCAAGTAAAACAACTGAAGGTACATTGAGCCTGATCTGAGGCAGTTGGCACACGAAACGTCAAATGTGTAGCATGTTTTCTTTACCCCTCACATGACACTTAATGGGAAGTGAGGACAGGTTTTACACGATCAACAGGGATTATACAACACACACTAGAAAGTGGACATGTTTGCTGTATGTATACTTATATGTATTTATCTTTGTATTACAAAATCAGGGTATCTCTCTTTTTTACTGATTTGATAGTCTTAGGAATAAGGCAAAACTTTCCTGTATATGTTTTGTGAGATGAAATTTAATCAAAAACTCATTACATCAGGACATAATGAGCTTGTGTTTTATATATAACTGTGCCACTTTTTAAACCTATTGTAATAACTCTTTGCACACAGCTTTTTTTTTTTTTTTGGGGGGGGGCCCAGAAATATAATTACCCCAGGAAATAAAAGAAAAATGTCAAATATTTGAAATATACGCGGTAATTTAAAGCACACTTCAGCATCCTTGCTATACCATAAAAGCCAAGTTTGCATGGGTCATACTGTCAGTGAGTGTCTTTATAACATTAACATTTGTGTTAGATTCAAACACAGTTCCCAAATATTTTATACCCTTTCACTCATTGTGTGTTTGCTGAGAGGGGGGGTCTGAGGAGAAAGTTAGCTCTGGCATAGATGGAACTAATGCTTCCTTTCGTCCCATGATTTTGGTTGTATTGATGGGTCTGATATATAAAACATACAAAGAAATAAACAAAAACATTTGACCCAATTAAAGTGATAACCACCTTGACCACTTTGAACTCTGTTGTTGTGCCTATACGAGGGATCAGAGTGCCCTCTTGTGGCTAAAGCTGGCACCTGGTTGCTGCAGAGAAATGTAATACATATCTAACTGTTGCTTGTTAGATTAAAATGATCAGAGAATGTATTGAAATTTCATCACATTATTTGTTTTCTTCTCAAGTTGGATTTACTTTGAATAGTATCAGCATCTTGTTGACACTCTTCTAGGGTCGTGCAGGGGAAACCCACGAGGTCCATAGTACCGTAGTCTAATTGTGATGCAACTGAGTAATCATCAACTGCAACATTATCAAGTTCTAAAAAAGCATATATGGGTCTTTAGATTAGATAGTGATTGACTACAGAATTTTTTCAACACACACTTTTAAGTTGTGCTGTGCAACAGAATATCTATTTTTATTTTCTTTTTTTCATCCAATCAAAGCAGTGGAAGAGTCTTATTATTAAAGTTGAAATTTTTCTGTTAGGTTTTGTAAAAGCTTGCATGTATGTTTAGGGAACCTCTGATTTAAAGAAACTAATAGTTTAAAAAATCAATTTAAAGAATCCCAGATATCAAAATTAGTTGTTTATTTGGAGTTCTGTCTGACACCAGTCGCATGTCTAAGTAATATATCTGGTTTGGGGTCTTTCATCATTCCTTCTTTCTTCTGCTCCATTCAGTGCTATAACTTCTCTCGGAGACAAATAATCTCCCCACACTGGCCAATACAAAGCCACCAGGAGAAGATAAAGCTCATTTGTGTCTGCTTACAAGGAGAAATTACACATAATCCATTCTAAGAGGCAGACAGCACCTAGACACATGGCTGGAGTCGAGCAGAGAAAAAGTAACCATTCATTCAAGGTTCATGTTTATTGTTTGAGATTATGACCTGATGAAGTCATCCAGCTGTCTTCACTGACACCGCAAGGTACAGTTGTTTCCCAAAGCTCATAGTTGTAAGAGTAAAGCAGATGCTTGGTGCGTGCATACTTTGGATTAGCTGATTAGGTAGCTCATTACTTCACTCACACTCGTTGCAGTTTCCTGTGTTGCAATGTGTCTCTGTGGGAGGCCACTTCACTGTGACAGGGCTGTTGTTGTTGTTGTTGTTTTTTTTTTTTTTACATTAACAGCTTATTTTACTGTAAGGCAAACATTGAGTTACACAGACTGTTACATCCAGCCTGTGTGCATCATTTCTTGCCACTTTCAAATCTTGGTGAGCTTGGTAATCCTTTACTTATTTATCACCCTTAAAACTGTTCTATTTAGTGTCCAGCAGAGGGAGGTGCTGGACATGAAATTCATGCTCCTAAACTGGTTTCTCTTGGGTTTGACTTTCAGACCGTCTATAACAAAGTCGACTTTTTTTGTTTTGTTTTTGCTACAAAAAAAGTGCAGACAACAAACATTACAAGTCATCATCACATTACATCAGCAGAGCAGGTGTTGAAGTGTTGGATTCTGTATAAGACCTAAAGGCTTTTGATTTTGTTGTCCATATTTTTAGCCATTTTAATGAATACCCAAAAAATATTTGCTCGGGGTAAGCTAAATGCAGTGTTTTTTATAGTGCTGACAAGTGATAGTTTGAATTTCCATTAATTTTTAAAGTCTTATATAATCAGAATCAGAATCAGAATACTTTATTGATCCCTGGGGGAAATTATTTTTTGTTACAGTGCTCCATTTTAAACCAACATTAAGACAAGACAGACAATACGCTAACTAAGAATAGTACAATATATACATATATATACATACATACATACATAAGTCACTTATAAATAAATAGTTGGAAAAGAAACATGTGTAGCTGTAGCAGCAAACAGTGTGTTAAGTGGATGCGTTGTACAGGGAGATGGCCACAGGCAGGAATGATTTCCTGTGTCGTTCAGTGGTGCTTTTCGGTAATCTCAGTCTCTCACTGAACGTGCTCCTGTGACTGACCAGCATGTCATGGAGTGGGTGGGAGGTGTTATCCAACATTGTCTTTATCTTGGACAGCATCCGCCTCTCCGACACCACCTTGAGGGAGTCCAGCTCCATCCCCACAACATTGCTGGCCTTACGGATCAGTTTATTAAGTCTGTTGGCATCTGCGACCCTCAGCCTGCTCCCCCAGCATGCAACAGCATAGAGGATCGCACTGGCCACCACAGACTCATAGAAAATCCTCAGCATTTTCTGGCAGATGCTGAAGGACCTCAGTCGCCTCAAAAAATAGAGACGACTCTGGCCCTTCCTGTAAAGTGCTGTGGTGTTTTTAGCCCAGTCCAGTTTATTGTCAATGTGTACTCCAAGGTATTTATAGTCCTCCACAATGTCAACACTGACCCCCTGGATTGAAACAGGGGTCAAGTGTTTCCTGGTCTTCCTGAAGTCCACGATCAGTTCCTTGGTCTTTGCCACGTTGAGCTGCAGATGATTCTGCTCACACCACGTGACAAAGGAGTCGACCACAGCCCGGTACTCTGTCTCATCATCCCTGCTGATGCATCCAACCACCGCAGAGTCATCAGAAAACTTCTGAAGATGGCAGGTCTCTGTGCAGTGGCTGAAGTCTGTGGTGTAGAGGGTGAAGAGGAAGGGGGAGAGGACAGTCCCCTGTGGTGCCCCTGTGTTGCTAATCGCCTTGTCAGACACACACTGTGGGAGACGTACATATTGTGGTCTTCCTGTCAGGTAATCAACAATCCAGGACACCAGAGAAGCATCCACCTGCATCGCTGCTAACTTATCACCCAGGAGGGTCGGCCTGATGGTGTTGAAAGCACTGGAAAAGTCAAAAAACATGACCCTCACAGTGCTCGCCGGCTGGTCCAGATGGGTGTAGACACGATTGAGCAGGTAGATGATGGCGTCCTCTGTTCCGAGACGAGGCTGATAAGCGAACTGAAGGGGATCCAGATGTGGTCTTACTATGGGTCGCAGCTGGTCCAGGATGAGCCTTTCCAGGGTCTTCATGATGTGGGAGGTCAGTGCCACGGGCCTGTAATCCTGGGGGCCACTGGGACGAGGCGTCTTTGGTACAGGGACGAGGCATGATGTCTTCCACATCACCGGGACCCTCTGCAGACTAGTATTAGTAAGAGGTCAAACTCTTACTAATACTATGAAACAAGCTGCTCCACATGTGTTGCACAACTACTTAATGTGGTGGGAAAACCTACATGTAAGATGCTGAGAGATTAAATGTGTTGTTTTATTCAGATCCCCAAATATAAAAAACACTCAAGAATTTTTATCCTTCCTTCTGTTTATTATTTCTTAATGAGTCTAAGTACTCTCTGCTTATGCATACCTATGTTTTTGCACCCTGATGGCACCCTCTTGTCTCCCTTGTCAGATCTCATCTGGTGGGATATCTTTTGGCTTTCTGTTGGCTAACTTTAGCTTCACAGCTTGCACAATCTCTCTCTAAGCCTTTTTGGGGGGTTGTGGTGTGCCAAAGTAGATTTACCTTCAATAACCATTTATTAAATCTCTATCCATTAGACTCTGAGGCTTCGTAAGAGCTGGCTGCATTAAGCCTGATTATGGGATGTTCGGCAGTGGAAAAGGGTCTATGTGTCAAGTGTGTCATCGAGTGATTTATATCCCTGGCAGGGATCTCTGTCTTGTCAGTCGGGAATAAGCCGCATAGAGGAGAGAGAAGCATTGAAACCTTTACTGAAGGTGAAGCAAAATAGTTTTAAAGTGTAAATCCAGGGCTTGGTGCCATCACCTGGTGCTGTAGTGGCTCTTGAGTGTTTCTGTCTGTCTCTAATGTTGACGTTGCTGGCGTCCCCTGACCTGTCGCCACTCTCCAAGGGTTCCTCTCTTGAGTTAAGTCTTCAGCATGGACACTGGCACCTTTAAAAGATCCTCCCTCAAACGCAGCACATCTGACTCGCAGAAGGTAAGATGAAGTGTGCAGGCATCAATGTCACATTCAACAGCTATTAATTTTTATTACCTTTCAGACGTTTTTCCACTCTGGGATTTTAATTAGGATTAAAAAAATGTTTTAAAGGATTTTTTAAAATTGAATTGTAATCTATTATTAATGGAACTTTTATAAATGATGTTGTTCTCAAGAAAAGGAAGTTTATCTTAGCTTTTTAGCAAACTTTTTGCAAACACAAACTGTATGATTACTCAAGTCATCACTTTAAGGATATGCAACATGGTGCCAACACTGTCATCTAGCCTCAGCCCTTCTCGTCCAATCATTTTAGAGGTTTTCTCTTTAGCATAAAGTCTCTAAGAACTGCTGCTCATATACCAGCCTTTAAAAGTTGAGTGCTATTTAAAACTGCAGCCACATTCTCCAGTACAGTCTTCAATCCTAATGACCCAGCTTTGATAACCACTGACTTTTATATCTTTGTAAAGTCTTTTAAAAAAGTATTTAAAAGACCCTGAAAGCAAAAATATGTAATCATTCATACATTTCTCTTCCTAATATTTGAGCAACATATCCCAGAAGAAGAGCATGTGAACTGCAAATTAAGAGAGTTTGCACTATTTTTGTGTAGGCTCATGAGCACAGAATTTTTAAGGACAAATATAATTCAATTTAAATTTAAATGAAGGAGAAAGTCGGATTAAATAACTACATTGATTGTGGCATGGTTGTGCCAGACAGGCTGGTCTAGGTATTTCAGAAACTGCTGATTCACGGGGATTTTTCCCAAACAATCATCATTATGGTTCACAGAGAATGATCCTAAAAAGAGAAATTATCCATCGAGCAGCTTTTCTCTGGGTAACAATGTGTTGTTGATGCCACACAAGACTATTGGTGAGTGCTCAGCTAAGGATAGAAAAAGAAGCTACAATTCTCACAATCTGACCACAGAAGATTGAAAAGATGTTGCCTAGTCCGATGAGTCTCGATTTCTGTTTTAACATTCAGATGGCAGGGTCAGAGTCTGGTCTAAACAACATAAAAGCATGATGTTCAGGCTGCTGCGGCTGGTGGTGGTGGTGTAATGGTGTGGGGGATAATTTCTTGGTACACTTAGGGCTCCTTAGTAGCAAATGAGCATCACTTAAATACCAGACCCTACCTGAGTATCATTGCTGATCATATCATAAAGCTGAAATCATGGTGAACGCTGGCCTCTAGTCACCAGAGAGCACCTTAAACGTAAAGTGTGTTGAAAACCTCCAACAGAGAACACATTTAGATAGATGTGTTCACAAAATATTACCTGATAAATTAGATGAAATTAGCAAAGTATTCATCTCCATCTATGTCTAGTTAAATAAAAAACAGTAATCACTAGAAAATACTGAAAAGAAATATTCATGAATTCTCCGCAGGTTAACGGGGGTGACTAATTTTTGATGAGTTTGTACTCAGACACTAAACATTAGTAATAAAAACTGCAACAACCAGTAAAAATCTGAATCTGTATATCCTACCAGATTCACTCTGGGTTTGCACCTCATATGAGATTGTGATGTATGAGTCACCCAACCACCCTTCACAGTCAGTTGTTCGCCTCTGATGAAATTAAATGGCATTTATTTAAGCGCACACCAAAAGACTATTACAAAAGATATGGTCAAAGCAAAAAAGAAATTCTTTGAATACATCCCTCTCAAGGCAAAAACATGCAGAAACAACAGAAACAGCACTCACATAAAAACAAAGTTTTTAATTTATATGGCAGCTGATAAATTCAGAATAACTCTAAGATAAATTTTAATGACAAAATCATCCTATAATGGCTACAAAATAATGTGAATTTTAGTGACGGAAAGCATTTGATCTCCTTGGAGCACAAGATTTAGTACTTGGTGGAATAACCGTTGTTGGCAAGCACAGTCTCTGTAGATATATTCGACCACTCTTCTCTTCAGATCTTTTCCTAATGCTCGAGTATATGAGGTTGCAATAAATGCAATAAACTGCAATAAAGTTATCTTGTACTACTGATGGGAAAACACCACCAAAGTTTAATGCTTTCACTGCCACGTGTGACAGTAGGGATGATGCTCTTGGTGTCAAAGTCAGCATTTTTTCCCTTAAGACACTCTGAATGAAGTTGTTCCAAAAAGTTTTATTTCCTAACAAAGGTGGTGACTGTGGTCCCGTCTGCATTTTCCCATGCAGTGTTGGGAGTCATGCCTTGCCCTCCTTATGGTCATTAATTCTGCATGAGACAAGATCATGGGTGGAGCACCAGACTGAGAGTGACTGACTGTAATTTTGCGTGTCTTAAATGTGAGAATAATCACACCAACAGTTGTCAATGTGTCACCAAGATGCTTACTGGTGACTTCAATCTATACACCTAAAAACCACAAACCAGGCGAGAAATTTGGGTGTAGTGATGGATGCAGACCTAAACTTAGAAAAACACATTAAGACAATAACAAAGTCAGCTTACTATCACCTCAAGAATATATCAAGGATAAAAGATCTGATGTCTCAACAGGACCTGGAAAAACTAGTCCATGCATTCATCTTTAGTAGGCTTGATTACTGTAACAGCATCTTTACAGGTCTACCTAAAAAATCAGTCAGACAACTACAGCTCATTCAGAACTCTGCTGCTCGAGTCCTCACTAAGACCAAAAAAGTGGACCACATCAGTCCAGTTCTGAGGTCTTTACACTGGCTGCCTGTCCGTCAGAGGATAGACTTTAAAGTTCTGATGCTGGCCTATAAAGCTCTGAATGGTTTAGGACCAAAATACATCAGTGACCTCCTGACCCAGTATGAACCTTCCAGTCATCTGGATCTGGTCTTTTATCAGTTCCCAGAGTCAGAACCAGACACGGAGAAGCTGCATTCAGCTTTTATGCTCCTTATATCTGGAACAAACTCCCAGAAAGCCTCAGATCAGCTGAAACACTCAGTTTATTTAAATCCAGGCTGAAGACTCACCTGTTCTCAGCTGCATTTGAATAAAGCACCAAATCCACACTTTTAAGCTTAAATTTCAAAACTTACATTTAACTACTGATTTTATCTACTGTTCTGATTTTATCTGTTTTGATTTTATATACTGTTTTGTTTGTTTGTTAATTAGTTTGTTTGTTTGCTTGTTTTAATCAATTTTAAATCATGCTTTTTATTTGTTTTTGTTTCTAATGTCTCTGTAAAGCACTTTGAATCGCCTTGTTGTTGAATTGTGCTATACAAATAAACTTGCCTTGCCTTGCCTTGCCTTGGTGATCCATTAGCCCATTGCAGCTTTTGTACTGGTCAACCCAGAGCTCTTTGGCCTTGGTGATGAGGTTAGGGACTGCTTAGGGGCCCAGGTATATTTATAATCCACACAATAGTGCAATCCACTGTGGATACTGGCTTGGTGACTGTTAATCCCTAAATTGTTGCCAATGAAAAACTTGGCATACTTGACCCAAATAAACAGAAATGCACATTTATTTCAAACGACAACAATTTTTTTCTCTTTTGTTTAGTTGAAAAGTTATCGTTTACTCTTAACATACATCTACAACTGAAATTGCATTCAGCTCATTTCTTTGTAAGTAGTTCAAATCATGAATTCATCAGGGTGTCGAATCCCTGTAACATCTGTTGAGGCTGCTATGTATGTAGAGTAAGGCTTATAAATGAACCCTTGTAATCCTTAAAATTGTTGGGTAACCTGGTTATTTTTTAGTTGCGTGATTGATAATTATTACGTTACTTAAACTGTTGTAGCCATAATGAGTAAGTTCCTTCACTTTCACAACAGAAAGATTTCAGATGTCGCTAGTTTTTTAGGATGCCCTAACTTTATTGCGATTCCTTGATTTTGGTCTCTATTTCAGTCAGACTGCTTTAGGGAAAAAAGTGAAAAACAGCAGCCTTAAAACATGTCTTATGACTCCCTCAAATCTCGGGGATAATCAGTGACATGTTGGACTCGTGATGGCTAACTGGATTTTTCAACTCAGGAGGACAAAGAGTGCATTTACAAGCAGGGCTGACTGAAAACAGTTTGCTGCACAGTTAATGCAAATTTGCCCATCCAGACCCTGGAAGTGGAGTGTGCCACTTTGACGAAATATCTTTTCTCCTCGAGTAAAAACAAGTAAAAGGCAGCTTTATATTCAGCCCATGTGGTTTACCATGAGTCTGAAACGCTTTTTTTTTAGACAGTTAACAGAGCCTACATGGGTTTTCTTCCTGTCACAATGCATCAAGCTCTAACTAGCATAGCTATTCAATACCAATGAGGAGCAATTAGTTGCTTTGATCTTCAACCCGGGTAACATCACATTCCTTATAGGAACCCAAAATCCTTTCTTTCACTTGTGCTCACAAAGCTTTTGTTGTATGAATTCCATTGTTACTGCAATATTGTGAATATCTGACACGTTGATTTTCAACTGATATAGCTACAGAATTTAACCAAACATGTGCTGCCAGTCAGGTATCCACATACAGATATAAAGTCATCATTATACCTTCTCTATATGAGCCTTTGGGACTGCGTAGTGTAATTAAAGCTTTACTGGAACAAATTAGCTGTGGTCAAGTTGTTGCTAAGCTGTGGGTCAGGAGACCAGGACCATGTGATTCCAGTATAAAAAGGAATGAATGTATGGTATACTGTGAATGTGACCTTTGTATACACATTGTTGCTCCGATGTCCAATGCATTGTATTAAAGTGCTAAGCATGGTCAAAGTTTGACAGGAAAACACTGCATCAGTACGGCTAATAATAAATATATTTTTTTAAATTTCCGTCTCATATAGCTGTCTTTTGTTTTAAGCACTAATTTTCCAAAGTCTGCATGTTGGAATGAATGTTGTTGATTGTTCTCAGGCTTGTCTTAAGTCCTGTTAATTTGCTTGGTGTGACACAATCAGATCCTGCATTATCTCATTCTTCAAGAGTTTTTTAAAATGTTTTTTTTTGTTGTTGTTTTTTTCTTTGTTAAGTGCTCAAAGGCAGCTCTTAACGAGCCAGCTGGTTGCTGACTGGATTTTGGTTTTAATTGCTGTGGTTAATGAGTTTAAGTAAGCTGAAATAACTGCGTCACACTGGCCAAACCCTTCTGGAAATGCGCTTTGTTTTGTCCGGCTATAATTAACATTGGCCCACGTGCGTTTTTTACTGGAGCACGAAGAAAAGTGGGAAACTGGAGGGGGATGCTAGGATTCTCTCTTTGTCTTTCTGTCATCTACCACCAGCCTCTGCTGTTTTTTTTTTACTGGAGCTAAAACTGCTCACTTCAACCATAAAAGGAGTGCTTATCAAATCATTCACATGAGAAAGGCTTTAAGCAGACGTCTGCTACTTAGTGCCAGTTCGCTCCATCTCTAGTTATTAGGAATGCATCTGCAATCCCTTTATAACTTGACGACTGTTTTTATTAAATACCCAAACAGGAGGATAAATATGATAACAAAAGGGCACTGGGAGTCTCTTTTTTTTATGAAAAAAGGGTGTTTTCAAATGTAGATCAAATTAACATACCTGACATTAAACAGGAAGATTAAGGGAATACTGAATATCTGGACTGCTGCCTTTTCTTTCTCTCCACAAATACATAGTGGGTGGAAATAAAGATTAACTGCAATTAGCACTGACTGACCCCCAACTGGAGACCAGTCATGTCTTAACAAGGCGCCTTCCAAAAGAATGCCTGCATCCAATTCTCTCAATTATGCAAATTGGGTTGAAATCAAAGTACTTGGAGGGGGTGAAAATTTTCAAACGAGAAGTTGGGGACCCTCTGAACGAGGCTGCAGTACTTTTAGGTTAGTCGCTCTTCTCCATCATCTCACACTGGCGAAGTTTTTCTAAACTGTGAAGCGAGCACAAAGAAAGGAGTTTTACACAAATTGGGAGATTAGGAGCCGGTTATCAAAGTAGATTTATTGTGCCTTGTTCAAGCGAATGATGAAAATACCCTCTGGGCATGGAGAAAGGGTCATGGGACTCCCAAAAGGATTACCTTGAACTGGAGTCATGAGACTTGGGTGAACAAAGACCCTGCTCACATGCTCATCATATTAACTGGCCCTCATAAAGTGAAGAAGTTTCATGTCCTGTGGGATTCAATGAGGCCACTTCACTGGGAGTGCAGCACCAGGAGAAAGCTCTGGCTCCCCTGCACTCCCTAGCCTTAATTTCCAGCAGCACTAGGACCTCGAAGCTCCGTCAAGAGGATTGTACGTGAGTCGAAACCCTTTAAAAACTTTATTTAGTTGCATTATTAGGATTTTACCAAGCAGCGGCCGATGTTGTATTAATTGCAGACCGTGAAAAGTGAGTTCAGATGAGGTAAATGTGAGCAGGCAGCACTGAGGGACGTCTAGGTGCTTATTGATGCATGATGACACTGAGAAATAAAGATGGGAACATTTTTTACAAAAACCCATGCTAAATAAAAAGTAGTTGTTTTGAAGCTGCGCCAAAACATCATTCTTGAAAGAGCACTGTAGTAACAGCAGATAATATATGTAAGGCTGATATCTATGTATTTGTATAATTTTAAACAATTTATACCAAATGTATACAGTAGTAGTGTTGAACTGAAAAACAAGCGTTAAAAACCCCCACGAAGAATTACTGGTGGAAAACAGTCATAATAGAAAATGGCATACATGCAATAAAAACAGATTAAAAGTAATACATGCATCTATTTGCATTCGTGTATATTTTTGGTTTGGATCATATGACATCTGCACAGGCAAAAAAACAAAAATAAATAAATGCAAAGGTTTCCCTTTTTCTTAAAGCGGAGGCGAGTAGACACTCCGGGAAAGTCTGTGGTTTTGCGGTCCAGCTGCTCTCAAAGGGGGTCATTTGAGCAGAAAAACAGGGCGAGAACAGTAACTGTTCTGTGTTATGGCTACTTGTGATCATCACAAGACTTCAGTGAGGTTTATATAAGGTCTTTCATCCTTACTCATCTGACCTCAGGCTTACTGGTAAAGTTTAAACAGATTTTTAATTTGTTTTTACATAATAATGCTGTCAAGGGTTCAAATTCTGTTTTCAACCCCACTTCCTGGTGATTTCTTGGAAAGCTTTGCTTCCCCTGATTCGGTGTTAATTGGGCTTCCACCGTCAACAATAGCCCTCTGAGAACCTTCGCCTTGAACTCTGGTTATTTTTGATCGGCAACTGGAAAAAGATCAGAAAGCAATCAGAACAGGATTTGACAAAGTGTGGGGGAATAGTACTTTTGTGCTTTTCACTGGCTGCTTATGAAACTTGAACAAACAATGGAGGCAATTTTACCAGCATCAGCTGTGGCGCAATAACATGAGAAATGACAGAGCATGCATGATTTTAGTGCCACAGCTCCTTCACCATGCTCATGTCTTTGTGCATATCAAGTACAACTTCTGGATTCTTTGGAAAACGGCTTTTGCATAACACTTTTGTTATGTTTCTTTTTGTCTTCCCAGGCACAGAAAGTATGGATTGAGAGGACCTTTCTTAAAAGAGAATGTATACACATATTTCCCAGCAAAGACCCAACCAGGTAGTTACTTCAATTCTTGAAATTTACCCTGAAATTGTACTTTAAAAAAATTACAAGTCAGAAATATAAGTCCTCAGATTGCAAGTGCAGGTATGCTGTTTTATCCACATCATTATTCCAGAATTACAACAGGTTTTTTTCTAGCTTGAAGCAAATTCATGCAATGTTCATTTTTCTTAGAGTGTATTTTAGCATATTTTTATAAAATGTATTGTTGTTGTTGTTTTTAAAAAAAAATGCTTTCCATATGCAAATTAATATCCATTAAATTATGTTAAAAAGTAAAAAAGCTGAAAACATTAAGAATTAGATCACATGCATCAGTGTACATTTTTCTTGTTAAATGGGCTGTGTGAGTTATGACAGTGGTGGTTATATAAATAATATCCTGTAAATAATATAATAGCATTTGAAGCTGGCATTCGGGTCTATATTAACTGACAAATATTTTTCTTATTAATTAATTAATTTCTGAAATCATGACACCCTTGACTTCAGCCTATCCCGCATTTATCAGGATTTAAACAATGCGTCTGTAAGTCACGGCGAAAACTCCAGGGCTGCTAGAGCAGCCAGGCAGTGAGCCCTTTGTCTGCCAGAAATGGGTAGAGCAATGAAAGTATGTGTGCAAGGTGTGTCTTACTGGCTTCTTCAAGTTGCAGTTCACACCCTCTGATCTGTCTAGATGTGCCTGTGGTCAGCTGACAACACAGCACGTGGCCATCCCTCCCGGTGCCAACTCCTTAGAGGAAACCCACCAGCTGGTTCAGATTGATACCCCAAAGGATAAATGGAGTGTGATCAAGCACACCAGGACGTACCCGACGGACGCCTTTGGCATCATTGAGTTCCAAGGAGGAGGATTCATCAACAAAGCCATGGTGAGTCTCAGTCAAAAAGGTTCTGCTTCAATCTTCGATCCTGTGGATACAAGCAGTGCCTTAAAAACAGAATGTAATCATTAAAGTAGAATCTTAAAGTGTGGGGACCTTTCCTTTGTAAAGGAATATTATTTACTCACATTTTTATACCGTTAGTTCTCTCACATCAGAGAAGTGAGTGGATACGATGCAGTGTCAAGGAGCTTTAGAGTTTTTAAACTGTACTTAACGCACACGACGTAGCTAGAAAAAAGTGATAATTAACCTCTCAACTTTGTTTTTTCTAGTATATCCGGGTTTCATACGACACCAAGCCTGACAACCTACTGCATTTGATGGTAAAGGACTGGCAGTTGGAGCTGCCCACCTTGCTCATCTCTGTACACGGGGGTCTCCAGAACTTTGACCTCCAGCCCAAACTCAAACAAGTGTTTGGCAAAGGCCTGATTAAAGCGGCCGTCACAACTGGAGCCTGGATCTTCACGGGTGGAGTTAACACAGGTAGGACGCTGATGGTTTAGTATAATGCTTTTAATGTTCACTTAATAACAATCAGCTTGTGACATTAGAAGATTACCTTTGCTCCAAATTGTTATTACGTAACACTACTCTGCAATTTCCTGGGGGAGATTTGACTAATCCATTGTCACAGGTTTAGGCACTATAATTAGAGCTTTAGTGGAAAAATTCATTGCAAATGATGGATATTGCGTGAGGTTACTGCAATATTACCACATTATGCTCCATAATTCAGCCCCATCACAAAAGAGCTTTATTTGTATTGCTCTATTTTGCCAATTTTAACTTAGGGGTCATCCGCCATGTTGGAGATGCCTTAAAGGACCATTCCTCTAAGTCACGTGGAAAGGTGTGTGCTATAGGGATTGCTCCATGGGGGATCCTTGAAAACAAAGAAGACCTCATTGGAAAAGATGTAAGGACATTTGCACCAGCATGTGGTCTCCTTAAAAAGAAGACCTTTCAAAGTAATGTCTCTTCTTGTAACTTTTTCCAGGTAACAAGACCCTATCAGACGATGGCAAACCCACTGAGCAAGCTGGCTGTGCTCAACAACAGCCATTCCCACTTCATCCTCACAGACAACGGAACCTGCGGGAAGTACGGCTCTGAGGTCAAACTCCGTAGACTGCTGGAGAAGCACATCTCTCTGCAGAAGATCAATACTCGTAAGTTGTTTAGTGTGCTGAATTTTTAAATAATCTGCCCACTGTGATGTGCATATGTGAGCTAGAATCTTGTTGGACACATGGATGGAGAGCTCCTCTGTGACATGTGGGCTTCCCTTTGTCATCCTATGCCTGGAACTTGGATAAGGCAGGGACAGCAAAGGGATGCTCAGCTGTCACCATTGACGTCACTTCCTCCTTCCTCTGGTTTGTCTGTTCACACATGGCATCGTAGCACAACATAAGCTTCATCATTTCACTCTCAGACTGTTTTACAGAGAAAAGAAAGGATGGAACAAATGATTATTTCTCTCTATTCATTCCAGGTTTGGGTCAGGGGGTTCCTCTGGTGTGTTTAATAGTAGAGGGAGGTCCCAACGTTATCTCCATTGCCCTGGAGAGTCTGAGAGATGAGCCCCCCATCCCTGTGGTGGTGTGCGATGGCAGCGGCCGTGCTTCTGACATCATTTCCTTTGCGCACAAGTTCTCAGAGGATGGAGGGTGAGGTTTCAGTTGATTTGCCTTTTACACTGATATCAATCCTTTAAAAAAACCAAAAACAAAGATGTGCTTTTTTTATCCTGTCATGCAGCCTGGTTAATGACGATGTCAGAGACCAGCTTTTAGTGACTATTCAGAAGACATTCAATTATAGCAAAAGCCAGTCGCAGCAGATCCTGCTCATGGTAATGGAGTGCATGAAAAAAAGGGAATTGGTAAGTAGAGGAACAAAGTGAGTGAAACCATTGTAGGAGTGAAGCCATGTATTTTTAAAGCAACATGTCTGTGTCAATCAATAAATATTTTTGAGTTGTGAAGCATCTGGTCTCCATCGTCATTCATCGCCACTCCACTCATTTGTGTATGTCCATTAACATACTGAATAAACATAATCCCCGCTACCTGCATGTCATTTCACCTTCTTTTGTGGTCATGTGCGTTATATCGTAATCCGGGACTTTTACAGCTTTACTGTAGGATATTATTAACTGTTAAGGACGCATGCAAGTGCGTAGCTGTCAAATGGTGGTATGTACTCCAACTCAGTTCAGCACACACCTGGTAAAGGTTTTCAGCAAAAAAAAAGAAAAAAAAACCCAGAGCTGAGAGTAATTCTTCAAGATGAATGCCTAAGTAGCAGCAGCATTTGTGCATCTCTTGCAGATTCCCGAAGGCATAATTGATGTGATAAACAGTTTGTAACGCTATATAATCTCTATAATCTATACATTTGAGAGGAAAAGATCAACACACACTATCAACTGCTTAGCTCGTACTTCATCTACTCACAGGAAGCATACAGCACACAGATGGAGGAGAGGATCCAGCTCCCTAATCCTCAGCCAGGTTGCTCTATCCACTCCGCAGGCTTTCAGTCCCCAGAGTGCTATCAGTTTACCACTTCACTCTGAAACTCTCAATCCCAGACGTATTAGACTGCCTAATGCTCCAAAACACTCACATAAGCAACTTAAAATGCTTTTTGAAAGATCATACTGAATTGTACTGTTTTTTTATTAAACACTATTTAGTTTTCCTTGATTCTCTATCGAGACAAAGCGGCAGAACAACCAAGTCGTCTGAGCTCTTTATGTATAAATCTTAAACTAAAGGGCGGTAACTAATCTACAGGTGAATCAGTGTCACTGTCTAGTCCACACATAATCCTTTCATCCTAAGTGCATCCAATGTGAACATCTGGCCTGGGCAGATAAAAACACTGATTTAGAGGGCTACATTTTGCTGTGATGTAACACCAGGATGCAACATTTAACCGAATTATAAAATTAATATCATAAAAGTGTCCGCACGCACACAAACAAGGCAGCCTGCAGCTTCCTGAAAGAGAAACAAAAGTGTTCAGTGTTCATACTGATGCAGACTGCTCATTATTAACGCATCCTGAGGCCGGCGCTGGAAAAACTCTGGCACCGTGCCACATATGCGTGCCAATCTAATCCCATTCACCATGGCTGCGCATGTGACAGACCCGTCAGCGTAATTTCATTTGATATCAAGTCTGTAACAAGGCAAGCGCTATCGCCGTGTCTGACGATTAAATTGGCTGTTTGCGCTCGAAAGGTCAGCCACAGGGTGCTGGAGAAAGAAGCCCTGCTGAAAATCAGTGGCAAAAATTCATTCTTTCATCAATCATTTCATCTGTGTAGTTTGTTATCAGTTATCAATTATTACAGTGTAACATTCCCTCGCTTCCTTTTTTATTCTCACATATAGATTACAGTTTTTCGAATGGGGTCTGAGGGACAACAGGATATAGAAATGGCCATCCTTACTGCTTTGTTAAAAGGTATCATCAGACACCAACACCAGTGGTTATCCCACTCGAAGCTTGCCTCCTTGTATATTTCCAATAGATTCTCTTACGACGTGCCACACATGCCGGCTCTCGTCACGTCTCCGTCTTTTTTCTTGCATCAGGAACGAACGCATCAGCAGCAGACCAGCTCAGTTTGGCTCTGGCCTGGAACAGAGTGGATATCGCACGAAATCACATCTTTGTTTACGGACACAATTTGCCAGTGAGTGTTCCTCACTTTTGAACAGTGTAAATTATTCATTTCACATCAGTGCTTTGTGACTACATGGATTCAAGACTGAAGGAAATAATTTGTTTTTGAAAATCCAATAAAAAAAAGAAAGAAAAAAGTGTGAAACAGAGTTGATGAAAGTTTAGAATGACGCATTTGCAAATGCTTCAAATTCATCTGCTGAAAGAAGCAGCCTACACAAGTGTGATGTGAAACCCCAAAGCAATCAGCAGGTATCCACGGAGAGTGAATTTATGAGATGAAGAAATTGTGAAAAGAATTGACTGAAGACCAAAGGAGAGTTTTCAGCTTGGTGATATCAGTTCTTGCTGGAAAAAAACACACCTCACATGCAAATACATATATAAGCAAACATAAATTGTGTCATATCACTCAAACACAAAAACTGGCAACTGATATGATCAAGTTAGAGGCATAGTAGAAATTGATGTTTGATATTTTTTTCTATTATTACTCGGTCAGCCTGCTGGTGCTATTGCCAACACTACAACCACTGCAGCCCCGTCTCAGGAGAAACAGAGGAGCCCTGCGAGCGCTCCTCGCAGCAAGACTCGGGTCAAGAAGGGGAAAGGGAAGGGAAAGGCAAAACCTGAACCACCAGAGGAAACAGATCCAAGGAAGTTGGAGTTGATTCGCTGGGTAGGAATAATGAAGTTTATGCAAATGTTACATGTGGAAATATGAGACAACAGAGTGAACATAGAGAAAATAATTATATTATATATCTATTCTATCAGGTGAACTCACTGGAGCAGGCTATGATGGATGCTCTGGTGCTGGACAGAGTGGACTTTGTCAAACTGCTCCTCGAGAATGGAGTCAACATTCACCACTTCCTCACCATTCCCAGGCTGGAAGAGTTATACAACACGGTGAGAGTTCTACAATGCTGAGCAACACCAGCAAAAGGGAAAAAAAAATTAATTCACAGAGTTTTGATGGATAAAAATATACAGAACCTACTTCTCCTTCTTGTTCTCACATCTTTCAGAAACTTGGCCCGGCAAATACCCTGCACGCTGTGGTTAGGGATGTCAAAAAGGTAAGACAGTCTTTGCTTATAACAATAAACATTCAGCAGAATCATTTCAGTTTATTTCAGGTTCAATATTATTTTAAAGCAGTTAAGGTCGTGCTTTCTTATATATGACTTCTGCAGGGAAACCTTCCTCCAGATTATCAAATTACTTTGATTGATATTGGTCTTGTGCTGGAATACCTCATGGGCGGAGCTTACAGAAGCAATTACACCAGGAAAGCTTTCCGTAACCTCTACAATAATCTATATGGACTAAAAAGGGTACGCATGGATGGAAGGAAATAAATGACAGTGGTTTGTCATCATATTAAGTAAGATTTTATATTAATTGCAACGCTTTGTTCTCTTCTTGCAGCCCAAAGCTCTGAAGCTTCTAGGAATGGAGGTAGGGTTTTCTTTCGCAACAACTAAAATAGTTTAACTAATCAAACCCACACAGAAGCACAATCTATCTAGCTGTTGTTGTTTTGTTTTTGTTAGGATGATGAACCTAGGTCAAAAGGCAAGAAAAAGGCCAAAAAGAAGAAAGAGGAGGAGGTGGAAATTGATGTGGATGACCCTGAAGTCTGTCGATTCAAGTATCCCTTCCACGAGCTGATGCTGTGGGGGGTGCTGATGAAGCGCCAGAAGATGGCACTATTTCTCTGGCAGCGTGGCGAAGAGGCTATGGCAAAGGCTTTAGTGGCTTGTAAACTGTATAAGGCCATGGCTCATGAGTGCTCTGAGAGTGAACTGGTGGATGATATCTCCCAAGATCTGGAAAACAACTCCAAGTGAGTGATGCAGAATGCTTTTTATACTTTCTGTAACGATGTATGTCTTTTTCTACTTGCTTTAAACTACTTTGATAAGTGCTATATAGAAATAATTGTTGTTGTGTCCCTCTCACAGAGAATTTGGACAACTGGCCTACGAAGTATTGGACCAGTCCTACAAGCACGATGAACAGGTGGCCATGAAACTCCTAACATATGAGCTGGTTAACTGGAGTAACTCCACCTGTCTGAAGCTGGCTGTGGCTGCTAAGCAACGTGACTTCATCGCTCACACCTGCAGCCAGATGTTGCTCACTGATATGTGGATGGGCTGCTTGAGGATTGGAAAAAGCCCGGGCCTGAAGGTTAACTTAAAAAAATTCTAAAACAATAATATTTACAAGAAGAATGTTATTAGCGGAAATACTTGAAAAATGATTATCTCACTCAGGTTATTCTGGGAATCATCTTCCCTCCTCTGATTCTGCTGTTGGACTTCCGCCTTGGAGACGATGCCTCTTATCAGGCACCTGCACGCAAAGAAGAGGGAAAGGACAAAGATGATGACACAAAATCCAGCAAGGTCCTTGTTCATACTTTTTTTTTTATTAGACATATGCCTAATTTAAGGGTGAATGATTGTAAGCTTGCTGTTTGCTGTGATGCTGCAGGATGCCAACACTGATGCAACTTCCCGAAAAGGAGACGAAGAAGAGGATAGCACCAAAATCCATAAAATCCCAGTTGGCAAAAGATTCTTTGAGTTTTATAATGCACCTTTCACCAAATTCTGGTTTAACACAGTAAGTTCCCTTCTGATGCGTGAAGCATGCATTTCAAAAATGACCGCCAACAACAACAAACAGCTTTATGACCTTATTGTTTTGACAGATCTCCTATCTGGGCTATCTGATGCTGTACAACTACATTATCCTGGTGAAAATGGAGCGATGGCCATCTATACAAGAGTGGATGGTCATAGCATACATCCTCACACTTGGCACTGAAAAAGTCCGACAGGTATGAGCCTTTACAGAGTCGGAATATCTTAAATTCCAAGCGGTTTTATGGGCTTGTAATGAATACTGTGTGATCTCCTAATCCTGGTGTCTAGATTCTGATGTCAGAACCAGGGAAGCTGAAACAAAAGATAAGTGTGTGGATGGAGGAGTACTGGAACATCACAGACCTGGTTGCCATATCCACGTTCCTTCTGGGGCTAATGCTACGGCTACAGCCTGAACCGTACATGGGCTATGGCAGGGTTATCTACTGTATAGACATCATCTTCTGGTACATTCGTGTATTGGACATCTTTGGAGTCAACAAATACCTGGGACCTTATGTGATGATGATAGGGAAAATGGTAATAGTTCAACGAATCACAGATGGCATGCACACACACAAAAAGAAAGAGAACACACTGAGCTTGCATGTTCTCTTTGTTTGATTCCTTTCAGATGATTGATATGATGTACTTTGTGGTGATCATGCTGGTGGTGCTTATGAGCTTCGGAGTGGCTCGACAAGCCATACTTCATCCAGATGAGGAGCCAACATGGCGCCTGGCCAGAAACATTTTCTACATGCCTTATTGGATGATCTATGGGGAGGTTTTTGCAGACTCGATAGACCGTAAGACTAGAATTCATAGTAAGATTCTGTTTCCTGATTCTGGGCAGATGATCAGTACTGCATTATTTCTCTGTTTTAAAATCTGTCTTAGCAATGTCACACACTTTGACATACTCTGTCTCCCTCTGCTGGCACATTTGGAATAGCACTTACTACAATACATACATTCAGTACAACACAATGTTTCACTGCTTAAGAGCAGAATAGATGCCTGTATGTCATCTCCTCTGTCATGATCATCTGCCTCCAAGTTTTTCTTCTCCTGTTAATGTTTCTTCTGTCAAGGTGAAGGCAACAAGCAACTATTTAAAAAGCCTCAATTAGAAATGATATTGAAGATGGTATTGAACCTTTTCTGGAAGGTGCTGTTAAACATGTGGTCTAATTGATACTGAAATTCGGATGTTTGTCTTCATTCATTTTTAATTTTATGAACAAGGTTGTATAAAAAAATGTAAAAATGTAAAATATGTCAAGGATATAAAGTATGCAACTAGGTATGTTTGAGTACTTTTAAAAGTGCAATGAACAATTTGATAAGACCAGTCCACCCTTTAAAGCAAAACAGCTTGACCTTGACAGAAATATGACATAAAAGTCTTATGTCTATTGATTTTAACGCTTTCTCCATTTCCCTGCGGAACTGTGGTTTTCGGGGATTTTTCCAAGTCTATGCAATGGAAATCAACCGTAAGTCATCATGAATGGTATTCTAATTATTTACATTAAAGTCTATATAAATGTATAACTTTAATCTCCCATTCTTGCAGCTCCATGTGGTGAACATTTATATGATGAGGATGGGAAGAAACTCCCCCCATGTATCCCCGGTGCCTGGCTCACACCTGCCATTATGGCCTGTTACCTTCTCGTAGCAAACATTCTTCTGGTCAACTTGCTCATTGCGGTCTTCAAGTAACTATACTTCCAATGTCTACTTGTTCTATTGTTTCTAAGAAAATATCTCCTCTTACAGTTTTTACTCACTGGTCTGCATGTCCTGTCCCACAGCAACACCTTCTTTGAAGTCAAGTCAATTTCCAACCAAGTGTGGAAGTTCCAGAGATATCAGCTGATCATGACTTTCCATGACCGTCCCATTTTACCGCCACCTCTCATCATCCTCAGCCACCTCTATATCCTCTTCAACAGAATGTTCAAGCGATGTGCCAGGAAGAAACAGGAGGGAGAGCTAGATGAGAAAGACCGTGGCCTCAGTTAGTCTCCTTTTTTAAACCAAAACAATTTTATCATTATACTTAATACTTAAGTGCAATTAACTCTTTACCCCTTGAAAGCCTCCTAGGAGTATCCTTTGAAACTGCCTTCTAAATTGAGCCGTTTCTATCAAATTTCAGGCGTGCTTGTAGAACAAAATGTATGTGTGTGTGCATCAGAAGTTAGTGGGGATGGTCTCTGTCTATGCAAATACCTATAAAAAACAGAAACTATTCTAATGGTCGACAAACCACATCTTTATTGATATACACTGTGGTGTTAAAATTCATCACTAAGGATACAGGTGAGGTTTTCAAATGCCATCTTTATGAGGGTAAAGAGTTTATGCAGTTTTTCAGTGGTTAATAATACACACTAAGCGTTTAAACCACATCAAAATATTAATTTCATGATTCTGTAGCCTATAAACATGAAGAAACTGCTGGAACTGATTTTTTTAACAAAAATTGCTGTCATGTGTTTTCTTCAGAGCTCAGGCTGAATCCAGAGGAGCTAAAATTCCTGTACGAGTTTGAAGAACAGTGTGTCGAGGAATATTTCAGAGAGAAAGAGGACGAGCAACAGTCTTCCAGTGACGAACGCATCAAGGTTACTTCAGAGAGGTACAAACTTTTAAAAGTAGTTCAAATATTTCAAATTGGTTCCTGTTTCCATAAAAACTATTTTTCTCTCAACTCTTCTTGGCAGAGTTGAGAATATGTCAATGCGTCTGGAAGAGGTAAATGAGAGGGAGAACACGATGAAGGCCTCCCTGCAGACGGTGGATCTGCGTCTGGCCCAGCTGGAGGAGCTCCATGGACGTATGGCAACCGCCCTTGAAAAGCTTGCAGGTGTGGACAGGTTAGAGCTGACTCGAACCTATTCGCGAAACTCATCGGTGTGCGACCCTTCCAATCTCCTTCGCCAAGGCAGTATTAACAGTGCTGACGGTTACAGTCTTTACCGTTTCCACATGGATATGGAAGAGTTTGCATCCAGGCAGAAGGACACAGAAGACACAACAAAAACCGGCCTAGAAAGACAGCGGAGTCTGCGGCAAGCCTCAAGTATGTGCACTCTCAACACCAAGGAAGGTGGTCAGAGCTCAGAGTCCGGAGGTTTCGAGAGACCTCCGCCAAGCTCAGTTGTAGATATTCTCATATCTCCGTGTGAACAAAGGCCCTCTTCTGCAACATCAAGTCAAGAAACAATAACAAACATAAAACAAGGCAGCACGATGTTTCTAGACAGACTACCAGACAAAAACAGACTGAGGCCTTTGTCCCCTCCAAAAAGGACAAAATCGTTGAAACACTATCCAATTGAAGACCAATTCATTTCTCCTTTGACAAAGAGGAGGTCTATGAGCACCATCATTATGAACCCCCCTGATGAACCACAGAAAGCTCCTGAGCCCATAGACAAAGTCCAGAGTCTGCTAGGAAACTCCTCTTCGCCAAAGAGGACTAAATCTCTGAGGTACATCCCTACTGAAAACCAAAGCCAGACTTCTCCCATCACTAAGAAGAGGGCTATGAGCAGCATCCTCTACACTCCAGCTGAGGCTGGTGATGATATGATGCAAACTGCAGAGTACAGGTCACTGGTAGAGCACATTAATAAAACTCCAAATCAGTGGCCATCAAATTTAGCGTATCAGGTGCATCCTACCACTTTGGGTCAAATGCCTAAAGTATCAACAGTCAGAACACTCACCCAGCAATATCAAACTCAGACTGAGGCAATTCCTACAGAAAGTACGAGGACTCTTCCAGGAACAGAAACTCCAGAGGATCCAAAAACGATCAAGAGAAACCTCTCGAACACCACAGAGTATCTGACAGCTGCTGATGAAAAATATTTACCCTCTCACAGATCACAGACTTGGAACGCAAGCGACAGGAGAGCCAAGTCCATGATGGTTAGCAAGCAGCTAGCTGCATCTAGCAGCGAGAGAGTCCTTAACGAAAGCAGAAAGGTGTCAACTTTTGGACAGGCAGATGAGGAAACAAAATCAGATGTAGGGAAGAAGGAAGACGATGTCCAGGAGTAAAAATGAGAGCCTTAAAAAGAGAAAATAAACCAGCATGAAGTGGAAAAAATAGCAAGAAGATAAACAGAAAGCCATGATTAAAGTAGTGGACATGTAGCCTGCCATCAGAAATCATTACTAAGTGAGTTTCTGATACAAAGATACAAACAAAATGACAATAACGGGGGGAAAAAAGCTTTACCAGAGTTTCTTTCTTTTTTTTAAACATTTTCAACCATGCAGTGTAGTTGTGTATAAAAAAAAAATCAACATTCCCATAAAGATCTACTTTCTTTTCCATTTTTACTCTTCACTGATGTAACATACAGTAGTTTACAAGGACTATCATTCACATTACAGCTTTCTCCAGTCGTTGTGTTTTCATATTGGACGCGTGAAGGGAAAGTGCTCTGTGTCTACAATCTCAAGAGGAAATAAAAGCAAGAACACAACTGCTACTTGTGATTACACACAAAATATGTGAACAGCAAAAACTTTCACTTCCTATATATGCTCAACATTTTTCAAATACTGTCTGTAAACATTTTCTATTTCAGATACTGTGTGCTTAATAGTCTGAGGTCTCCCTACAGCTTTCATGCAAATACTGACAACCGTGTAACAATATGTATTAAGTACAAGCTTCCAAGAAACAAACTCTTTCACAGCTTTGTTTTGACACAGAACCCTGTACAAATAAAGGTTCTATTAAAAATAAGTAAAAAAACAGTAGGTTGTTTTTTCTTTTGTTGTTGCTATTTTTTCTTTACATATTTTTGTCTTTCTATTGCAATACTGTGACTTTAAATAGGCACACATGTGCAATTAGAAATGATGGCATTAACACTGGATACCACAATCTTAACATATATGAATTCACACAATTACAACCAATTCTGAAACTCCGTATGATTATCTTACAGCATCGTCATAGTAAATGTAACAATAGGTAGGGCGTATAAAATGATGCTACGTTGTATGAAATACTTCATTTACCATTTATGAGACCAATATTTGTAACAGATATTTTTTAAGACATCCTACAGACATGTCCACAGTCAGCAGGCACTGCAGGGTGAGCTACAAACCACTGCTGATATTCATGCATCAGTCTTTTTGCATGAACACATATAAAGCCTCGTTCGTCATTGATCCTCGTCTGGTCAGCAGATCAGGGTAGCATCTCAGCCTCCCCTGAACCTGTAAGTCCAGCTGGCAATAAGGCCCCATGATTATATGACCACGGCCGCCTCCGCAGCGAGGAAGGCCAAAAGGCGGAAACCCTCCAAAACACCAATGTCACGCCACATACGTGAGCAGCTTAGAGGAGCGAGCACTTGAAGAATTTAATTCTCTTCGACTTTTTCTCTGTGATCTTGACCGGTTTGCCTGATCCTCCAGCACTGTTGTCAGTCTACAAGAAAAGAGTTGACGGTGAAGAAATGTAAATACAGACTGTGACACAAAGTACGGGATAGCGACTAATTAATGAAACTTTCTTCAACTTACCGACTTTGAGCTCAGATTATGCAGTATGTCTCTTCCCATGGTATAAAAAGCCTTGTGTGACATAAAAGACAAAATAAATATTACACATCCATATACTGTGTGTAAGTCATGCTTTATGGTAAAGGGTAAAACATCCAGCTTACCTCTTCAACATTCAAGCCAGACTTTGCACTGGTTTCCAAGAATTTAACTCCATAATCAATAGCCAGCTAGGTGAAATAAAAACATAGATTTATATTTATGCCAAACGCTGAAAATTGCAATAACTTCAACTGAATTAGCTTGATGCTTGCTTTTTGGTAACGACTAGCTTCAGACTCACTTTTTCACCTCTGTCTTTAGACACCTGTCTCCTGTCAGTCATGTCGCATTTGTTGCCCAGGATCATCTTCTCCACATCAGACGAGGCATGCTGGCAGAATTAAATAAGACTCATTATTTATGGTTATTTAAAGTATGATACTATGAGTATTAAAAACAACTATAATTTACTTATAATTAACAATCACAGAATTTAAATTGCAAAAAAATACTAATAATATAACTAAATTTGGAACTCACTTCTTCAATATTTCTAATCCAGTTTTTTATGTTCTCAAAGGACTTCTCATTGCAGATGTCATAGACCAGCATGATACCCTGGGAAGGAAAATAATAATAATAACAATTTATGAACCCCGACGTGCAAGGGTAAGGTAGATATATAGCAACATGGTGAGAAATAAAAAGCTAACCATTGCTCCTCTATAGTATGCTGTAGTGATGGTGCGAAACCTCTCCTGGCCCGCAGTATCCCTAATTACACATCAAATCAACAACACAGGCAGCAGGTTAAAGTGCAGGTCAGTCAGACTTTCCAATAAAAAAAAGGGAAAAAGCTCAGTCAAATTACACATACCATATCTGAAGTTTGACTCTCTTTCCATCCAGCTCTATTGTCCTGATTTTGAAGTCTATTCCTGTATTAAAGCAAGTAAGAGCCACGTAAGCTTAATCGGTTACCTTACACTATCCAGTTTGTCACATGCCTCACATACACAGGAAACCAGGCATTTCTGCAATTAATGGTAAAATGTGATCTCGTGTCACGTTTTAGAGGAACATATTTTGAGGAATAAGCAGAAATAGCTGCAGTGTAAATTTGCAGCGCCGATCAGGTTTATAACATAATTATCACAATACTGTTTTCAGCATAAAGGCTACAGTGTAACAGAAGTCAAAAGTCTTGACTGTGGCTTTGATTTCATTCTGTATTTAACCCTGCTAGGGCATCCGAGTCTTCAAGGACAGAATAGCATTATCCATTAGTCTCACACTCCTATTGTCTGGTTCATATGCAGTTATTTCCCTTTTAGGTCGTTTGTCCTTCTCCTTACTTTCATGAAAAAATCCACTAGCTTCTATTACTGACAGATCAATGCAGTAAAACGCAAGACTATGTGGATGCCGGCATTCGTTTTATTAGATTTATCCTTGGGGGGCGTCAGCAGAATACTCACCTATTGTAGATATGAAGGTGGTATTGAAGGAGTCCTCGCTGAATCTGAACAGCAGACATGTCTTGCCGACTCCGCTGTCTCCGATAAGCAAGAGTTTAAAGAGATAATCGTACGTTTTCGCCATTGAAATAAACTTCAGACTTCTGCGTTTCGATATTATAAGGCCGCAATGAAGCTGGGATCCCCCGTCTGGAAACCCCTCAGCTGTCTGTTGCAGACCCGGGCAGACTAGCGACAGCCCGGTGCCGAGAAATGTGACGTCAGTTCCCGCTTGGCATTGTGGGGCTTTGTAGTTTAAAGGGACAATTAGATTTTAACCATCACTTCTGGACACAGACTTCCAGTTTTGGAAATGCTCCTAATGCCCCTGGTACTTTTGATTTCTTGTGCGCCTTCTTCCTGATATTGCTGTCCGCTGGGTTTACATATCCCAACTGAGGTGAACTGATGGCCTCTACATGCATGATTCCCACCATGAAGCACAGAGGAAGAGGTGCGATGGTGTGGGGGTGCTACTGTTGGGTATTTATATAAAACTGAAGGCACACTGAACTGACATGGTTACCGCAGCATCCTGCAGTGACATGCTATCCCATCCAGATTGCATTTAGTTGGACCATCATTTATTTTTCAACAGGACAATGACCCCAAACACACCCCCAGGCTGTCTAAGGGCTATTTGACCAAGAAGGAGAGTGATGGAGTGCTGGGCCACATGGCCTGGCCTCCACAGTCACCTGACCTAAACCCAACTGAGATGGTTTGGGATGAGAGAAGGCAAAAGGGCCAACAAGTGCTCAACATCTCGTTGGACAACCATTTCAGGTGACTACCTCATGAAGCTCAGAGAATGCAAATAGTATGCAAAGCAGTAATCAAAGCAACCGGTGGCTATTTTGAACAATTTAAAATATAAAAATATGAATTATTTAACACTTTTTGTTCAATACATAATTGTTCAATACATTCATAGTTTTGATGCCTTCAGTGAGAATCTACAATCTTCATAAATAGTCATGAAAATAAAGAAAAAAATAAATAAATGGGAAGGTGTGCCCAAACCTTTGACTAGTGTATATATAATTTTATTTTTTAAGTGATAACCCTAATACGAAGATATTATAAATGTTTAGTATACTAAAATATTATATATTTTGGGGGAAAATAAAATATATATAATATATTTGGAAGTTTTATTTTTTCTGTTTTTTATTTATTTTATTTTTCTACATGCTCTTCACCATTTTCAGCACACTGTATGATTGCGAGTCATTCCCCGCTGCTCTGCTCTGAGATGCTATCTGTTTAATCGGCGCACGTATGCGCAGAGATTTGCACAGCGAAAATGCCTGTAAGTTACAAAGTTTCGTATTAATTTGTATGCTTTTTTCAACATGGTAGGTCCATATGTGCATTTCAGAGACGATGTCCTACCGTGTTTACACCGTGAAACCTCGCAGTTGTGTTGTTGACATTGTTGCAGCAGCAACACATGGAGTGGGGGTTAGCTAGCTAACAATAGCCGACGACGGGTGGCGACTACTTGCTGAAACACCGTGGTATGTAACTAGTAGTTGTGTGATGTAACTTATAACGTAGTCATGTCGGACCAAAAAGTAGTCATCGCCTGAAAACTTTCACGACTGCATTTTTTTGCGTTTAACGAATCACCTGTAGTACACACGAACAACTGTGGTGCTTACTTAAGATGTAAATGCAATAGTTAGTGTTTAAAAGAAGGTTTACCAAAGTGAGCTAAAAAGTTAAAACACGGTTTATCCCACTTATTTGACTGGACCTTTCCCTTCATTTCAGTTGGCCAGAGACCTTCTCAACCCGTCACTTGACCATGAGAGACGACAACATAAAAAGAAAAGACTTGTTCAGAGTCCCAACTCCTACTTTATGGACGTGAAATGCCCAGGTATACAATAAAGTTTATACTATATGGTCACCAGATGTCCCTCTTTATGTGGGTCTTAACAGCATTTTATTATTTCCTTTGATCCTACATGTGGACATAGTGTCTCACATTTTGATTGGATCTAGTTTTCAAAAGCAACTGGGAAGAAAAGTAGCACACTCCTGCAGGTTTATATGCTACAGTCTTTTGCTGCCTACTACGGCCATGGTAGAAAATTGCAAGTCACCAAAAAACACAAGCTAAGCAGATTTTTGTGAAATTGGCAGAGATAAAAGGAAAGGCTCAGAAACCTCTAAAAACCCAGTGAAACTGGTGACTGATGACTCTCAGTATTTGTTTTTTGTTTTTGACTATAGCTCAAAATGTCATGAGCCAGTTGATGATTCATTTGCACTGAAAGGCAATTGATAACTATGCAGAGCGGCAACTGAAATAATAGTTTTAAAGGTTATTGGGGTAAGAAGGAGAACACTTGTGATTAAAAAGATTAAGTAATTTTATTCTAGATGTATATACTTAAAAAGGGAGTTGGGAAGCTCACATAAAATCTGCTTTACAGTTAGCAATGTGTCCCACACAAATACAGTATTTGATTGGATCTAATTTAGTTGAAAATACACATGTACTCCCAAGTCCTCATAGAAGAGTAATAAGTTATGCAGCTGCTGTGATTTTAAGCCATTTCTTATTCATACGTTCCATGGCTGTCTTTTAATCACGTTTTACATATATGGCAATCACAGAAATGTAACAGTAAATATTTAACACCATTTCTTTGCAGGCTGCTACAAGATCACCACTGTGTTCAGTCATGCACAGACTGTGGTACTTTGTGTGGGATGCTCAACAGTGCTGTGCCAGCCCAAAGGAGGAAAGGCCAGACTAACAGAGGGTAAAAGATCCAGAACATTCTGTACCAATAGAGATGTAAATACTTGATCGTAAGTGTATGGGCACCATTATACCTGCTGTGTGGCACCTGGCAAAACGTACTGTACAACAAAGCCACCATTTCTACCAGTGGTGCTTTTTGTAATCTGGAATATTGTCATCACCCCTGCAGCCGAGTTGAAGACTAGTGCACAATTGTGGTGGTTTTTACTGATGTTTTAATAACAGTAAAGGAGCTCAGATTCAGAGATATTGCAACAATTTGAAAAACATTACGGGGAAAAAAGAACCTTTGAAAGAAGAATAGTCTTATATGTCATACTTTTTTGGTTTCCATATCAGCTCTGATGTGGAGGTGTTATCAGGTAGTTATACTGTGGGCTCACTATACTGCAGCAGATGCCTGCTGTTACAGTAAGCATAATTAGATGCAACAGTAATGCATTACCACTGCTGTGCAATGCAACCAGTGGCAGGTATACTGGGGCCTTTTAACTGCGCATAAATGAGATGTGAAAACAGATGAAGTAATTATGTTTTTTGTTCCACAGGTTGCTCTTTTAGGAGGAAGCAACATTAGATGGACATTGGAAACTTAATGACTGAATTTAAGCAGTGCCTTTTTATAAATCTTTCCATTGATTAAATGGTGTCCAATGACTAGTTATCATACAAATTTTAACTTGTAGACAAAAAAAATTACTGGCAGAATTTAATACGCAAATCTCAGTAAATAAAGACAGCAATAAAAAAGTTTAAGCATTCTGGGTATTTATTGTACAAAAAAAGCATTTGACTTGAATTTCACCTTCACAGAAAGCATACAAGTCATCATTTAGGTTCATATGAAGAAATTTGTACTGTAAATTTTGGAAAACAAACAAAATACACACTTAAAAAGAACATAACATGCACAAAAACAAACAAACCACTGACAACTTTAGGTGCACCCTTCTCCACTTGCATATTTGTGTCCCGAGTTTAATAAAAAAAAAAAAAAGGGATTGGCAACAGTTTTAAATGTGATGTCACAAATTTACAGTGTGAAAGGGACCAAAGGCATGGGTTAAACCTTTCCTTTTGCAAAACAAAACCCACATGCTCTGCATATAGACTTTGACTACAATCACTGTGTCTGACATTGGACGCCACCTCTGGGATTGTCATCGTCTTCCTCGTAAGCTTCACCACTGTAGTGTTTCTGTTGTGACTGCAAATCGGCCTCGCTTAGTTCTACCTCCTCCATGTCATCTGTGACCATCACATCCTCTCTGGGCGGAAGAAGTCTTTCCAGCTGGAACATCAGATGTTCTGGGAGCCAGTTTTTCTCTGGGAACTCCACCTGCAGGATTAAATGAATTCAAGTGAGCTGAAAACGTTTTCCCACCCTGTGGCTTCAATTTAAATCCAGAATTGTGTTACACTGTTGAAATGATGTTCAACTTACCTGAAACTGAATAATAAGCTGTCCCCTTTCATAAGGTTCTTTGTAAAGTGGCATGCCCTCATTCATAACACATTTGACGTCATTGTGCTTAATGACTTCACCTGTTGATTTGAAGGAAGAAAAAAAATAATAATTAAAAAAAAAATTGGAATCTATATTACCATTGTTCACAATCGGTCACCAGAAAAGCCAGCACTCAAGGCCAGCTGAATTCAAACACTTACCTGGTTGTGAGCTGATAACAAGCGTTCTGTTGTCTAGAGTCTGAATGGTATTCCGGAATCCACACAGTGCCTCGACAAGTTTGATGTCCATCCTCATTATTAGGTTATTGTCCCGTCTCTGGAAAACTGGGTGATCCTTCTGATCTAACACAATAATCACATCCCCAGGTTCCAGGCCAGGCTCCTGGTCACCTTCTCCATGAAATGTAATTTTCTGACCGTCTTTCATACCTGCACAAGAGACGCATCATTAGCTAAACTTGCTTTTGAAAACAACAAGAAAAGCATTTTTATAATACAAATGTCTCAGATAGGTGAGAGCTTTACCTTTGTCAATATGAACTTCAAGGATTTTCTTCTTGCGTTCTACTTTCTGGCCATTGCAGTTCTTGCAGCGATCCTTTGAGTTAAATTTCTCGCCCTGTCCCTGACAGTCTGGACACATGCTTTGGATCTGCTGAATCATGCCTGGTCCCACCTGCTGCACCCGGACTTGCACTCCTCTTCCTTTGCAGTTTGTGCACTTCTCCAAAGCACCCTTCTTGCCACCATAGCCTATGATGAGAAGGAAAAAAGGAATTAAATATCTTTATTACTCCAAACACTGGTATTTTTCTTTCTCCAATTAAGTTGGTACTCACCTTCACATTTCTCACAAATTACATTCTTCTGGAGTCCGAGCTTTCTTGTTGAACCATTGTACATCTCCTCTAGTGAGACACTAAGCTGATGAACTACATTCTTCCCTAAAGGACAAATAAATAAAAAAAGCACAACATTCATGTTATAAATGCCAGGAATACACATCACTTCAAACTGCATCTAGCTTGAAAACTCAATGAGCCACCTCACCTTTTCTCTCCCTCTGCATTCGTCCTCCACCTCCAAAGAACATATTGAAAATATCCATCGGAGAACCTCTGCCACCCATCCCTCCTTCTTTGATGGCTTGTTCCCCTCCTTGGTCATACAAGTCTCTCTTCTTTGGATCTGACAGCACCTCATATGCTTGAGAAATGTGCTTGAACTGCAGATATAAAACAAATAATTGAATTACTTTTAAAAGCGAGAATGAGTGACTCCACTAAAGCTATAACTTGAGTTTGTGTAGATTTTCAGTCATCAAGGTCATAGTAAGTCGATTATAACTTGTGTTAGTTTATTTGCTTCGACCCTTTATTAGGCTTACTTAACGTACGACTTGTGTTGTGACAATGCTACTTAAAAAAGTCACATAAATGATGAATAAAATAGAATACAATAACAACACATTTAATGTTAAACATTACTTTCGCACAGTAGCAAAAAACATCAAGTCAGTTCAAGCGTGCAGGTCTTCCTGTAGCCACACGCAGTCAGCTGCGCATAGATCATTCCAGAAAGTTCCAACTGGTCTTTAAAGTAGCCGGTTTAAAATTAGAAGCGGCTTTAACAATAGCACGTAAACGGCTGAACTGCTACAATAAAACACGTTTAAAACTCACCTTCTCTCCTTCGTTTGGATTCTTGTCAGGATGATATTTCAAGGCAAGTTTTCGGTAGGCTTTTTTGATTTCATCCTGTGAAGCATTGGGTTCGACACTCAGAAGATCGTAGTAGCCGGTTTCGTGAACCATGGTGACTGTCCTAAAGAGGAAATAACACACACCACGAACACGTTACACACAAGGTTACAGCTTGAAACACACTGACAGCTGATATTAAACAAATAGCAAACCGCACGCTAGCTGCAAAACAGGGGCTAACCTCTGTTTTATCTCGTTAAACCCAGCGATAACGGATGTCGCCCATATTCGCCTTAGCTATAGTCAACCTTAAATGAAACTGCTGGTATTTCTTCGTGACAATGATAATTATTATTCTAAATTGAAGTCTTTATGCCTTACTTTCCAGATGCTGCCTTACCAAGCTTTGAGTAGCCTTTGCTGTGAGAGTGCGGAGCGAAAGTGGGAGGTACTTATAGCCGCTTTGCAGTGCAGAACTTTCTGGAGAGCTTCGAGAAGCGGGACCGGATGTTTCGTTGGCGGAGAGAGAGGAGTCTAGAAGGGACCCGAGTAGGGGGACGAGGGAGGGGTGGAGGTTACTAGATCTCCTTCTTATATAGCGTGACCTACTTTTTCGAATGGTTACATTGCCTTAGATGTCTCTATGAGTCCAGTGGGGCAAGGGCAAGAAAAAAAGGAACAAATATAGCATGTATGATCTCTAATAAGATACAGCCTGCTTTGTAAATGTTATATAACCTTCTCTAGAATATTCTTTAATTACACCCACACGTCTGGCAAAACAGAAACAATACTCCATCCCAAATAACTGCAATATTTGTTATGTGAGCTACAAATGTGTATACTTGTTGTTTATTATTGACAGATTTATTGCAGATTAGGTGCTCCTAAATTCCACATTTTATTACATTTTTAGGAGTGCTAAAGCCTGTTTCACCCTGTAACTCATGTGCATTAAGCTTGATTAAAATTAAATGCAGAGTGGTGTGATTAAGTTTTGAACGTGTCATTGTGTGAATTGGGAAAGGCTGTTTTACATGTGAAAAGCGAAGGTGATTTGAATTCAGGACATGTTCTTGAGCAACTGATTCCAATGCACTACCCACATGGTCTTTCCTTTTGTTTCACAACCTTTAGCGACTTGGGAAGGCTTGCTGAACTGCAAGTTTGTTTGGTGTTTTTTTGTTTTCTTAATCCAGTATATTCCCATAAATCACGTTCGTCCAAGTTTTGAAAGCAGCATTTTTGAGCAAGTTCAGAATGGAAAAGAAGGTCGATCATCAACTTGAGGATAGGTAAGCAACTTAAGATGAACTGTTTTTTGGTTTCTTTCACCTGCCTTCACCTTTTTTCTAACAGTTTAACTGTAAGATAGCTTCTAATACTTTCACCAGCATGCATGCACAGTGCATAAATGTGGTGATGGTTTAACCACTTAGTCACTTCTGCCAGAGTTATTGAATGAATGTTCCTCATATTATAATATAGTTTTGCACCCAACCTTGGCACTGAGTCCACAAGTCCCAATTCCTCAAAAAGATTTTACTCATGTGTGTTTTTATTATGGTGATCAAGGATGTGCTTTTCCAGAATCATCCAGATGTGTTAATTTGAATTGATTTTGATTATTTTTGTCCTTTGAATACATTGTCATCTCAATTGGGAGAGAAATGTGATCAATGTTTGGATCAGTCTTTATATTGATTTGCAATGGCTCCTCCCCATCTACCATGACAACAATATTGACGAGTGGGAGCAGACAGTTGTTGTTTTTTTTTGACAAACAAAGCAAGGGGCTTTTCCTGTGGCAAAGCCCCGGCATTGTGTTGGATCAACAAAGCTAAAATGAAACCCCTGCCAGAATTTGAGGTGGAGTGCGTGCGAGTGTGCTTGAAGCCCGTGTTTCCTCTGTGTGTTTCAGTGTGATGTTGCCAGCTCAGAAGACTACGGAACACACGCAGACAGATAGTGAAGAGCTCACCTTTATAGGTGAGTTATGAGCACTGAATAAGAAGACTTTTAGTGCCCAGTGATTGCATTTGCATTTCAGATATGATTTTTTTTCTTATCGCAGGACAAGTAGATGTAAGTCAGGCATTTTCCAGCACACCTCTTGCTCCAGCCCATTCTCTTTGGACCACTGATGCTAGAGGTTCAGTCAAGCTGAGAATAGAAGAAGGATGTACAGAGGAACCCAACACAGTTCACCAGTTGTTTAAATCCTCAGTTGAAAAATATGGAAACAAGCATGCACTTGCCAGCAAGAAGAACAACAAATGGGAAAAGATAACTTTCCTAGAGTATTACCAGTTGTGCCGGAGAACAGCCAAGAGCTTTCTAAAGGTATATTAAACAAAAGAACTAATTACATTTTAGGTACGTGCTAGACTACACTGTCAATGATCAGACTTTTACAAAGAAAAGTCCAAAACTTTGTTAATGTGTGCAGCTGGGTTTAGAGCGATTCCATGGAGTGGGAATACTAGGATTCAATTCAGCAGAATGGTTCTTCTCTGCAGTCGGTGCAATCATGGCAGGGTGAGAAGCGCACATTACACATCAACAACTGGACCTGGATTAAGCACTAATCAAACTCAGCCAATCACTGCACATAAATACCATATAGGTGTATTTCTCCTGTTGCAGTGAGACATTCAATAACTTCTTTGTTTCTCCTACATCTGTAACAGAGGAATAATGACAGGAATTTATGCCACAAACTCACCGGACGCGTGCCATTATGTGGCTAGTGACTCTAAAGCCAACATTATTGTGGTAGAAAATCAGAAGCAACTGGAGAAGATATTGCAGGTACTATACAATGATATGCACATGCAGTGGGTTTGATTCCACAGCGAAAACATCTTCTCCCTTGCTATTACAGATATGTGACAGACTACCCAATTTAAAAGCCATAGTGCAGTACAGTGGACAGGTTCAGCAGAAGATCTCAAATCTCTACTCTGTAAGTCCTCAGGACAGCACATAAAATGATACAGACCACTATGACTGTTGAGCCTGTGTTCCAAATGGTATATTTCTGCTTTTGGGTAGTGGGAGGAGTTCATGGAGCTGGGTCTGGATGTTTCTGAAAAACAATTGGATGACATTATCAGCAGTCAGAGAGCTAACCAGTGCTGTGTCCTGATCTACACTTCTGGCACCACAGGCAAGCCGAAAGGAGTCATGCTCAGTCATGACAATGTAAGCTTTCATGTGGCTATCAATGTGTGCTTGTATGCCTAATGTGTCTATTAACAAATCTTATTATTGTAACTATGACAAGCTACTTGAAAGCGAAGAAGATCAAATGCAAAAACGTAGAAATACCTCAGAAATGTGTTGTTGTTTGAGGTAAAACAAACAATTTTCTGCACTGAATGAATTTACAGATCACATGGACGGCCATTCATGCCAGCAGGGCTGGAGAAATGCAGCCAGCCGACACGAAACAGGAGTCACTAGTGAGTTACCTGCCTCTCAGCCACATTGCTGCTCAGATCTATGATCTCTGGACAGGCATCCACTGGGGTGAGCTGGTATACTTTGCACAGCCAGATGCCTTAAAGGTAAGTAGTTAAAAATATTTGATCATGTGATTCTAACATGTGTCACAAGAATATGCATTTCGACAGCATTCAGTACTACAAGATGTTTAACATGAAAATAGGTGCACTTTCATGGCTCAGATAAAAATAAACATTTTAGTAATTGTGGAGGTAATCATTTGAATAAGATATTGTAAAAATGCAGTATTGTGCAGACTGAATTCCCACACCCACAATGGTGTCTCCCCCCCCCCCCCCCTTCATTCTTTTTCACATTTTGCACATTTGCTCTGTAGGGAAGCTTGATAACTACACTTCGGGAGGCTCGCCCAACATCCCACATGGGTGTCCCACGGGTATGGGAGAAAATGATGGAGAAGATAAAACAGGAGATTAGTCAGTGTGGATATTTGAAAAAGAAACTGGTTACATGGGCAATGTCAGTCAGCCAGGAAACAAATCAAAAGTGTACGCATGAGTGAGTAGAGTTTTGATTCTCAATAATTATTTATAAAATGTGCATATACGTGTAAATAGATGAATTTTCCCAGAAGAGATGATTTCATTCAAAAGTTTCATTTGCAATTTTATTAGGGATGATGAAAAACCGTTCCTTTTTTACGTGGCTGACAGCCTTGTGCTGCAGAAGCTTCGGAATGAGCTGGGCCTGTCTTGCTGTCAGAAGTTCTTTTCAGGAGCAGCACCGATCAGTAGTGAAACCGTACAGTTTTTCCTGGGTCTGAACATCCGCTTGTATGAAGCCTATGGCATGAGCGAGAGCACAGGACCTCACTTCATGTCAGGTCCAAAAGCTTATAAACTGCCGAGGTAAAAAAAAAATAATAATAATGTTTTTTTCAAAATCAAGAATTGTAAAAAATTACTTGTGTTTGTGGTCCTTATGTTTTGAATTGTAATAAAGTCTAAGACACAGAAAACTCCTTTTTTGACCTATAGCTGTGGAAAAGTGGTGCCTGGCTGTCGATACAAATTGGCCAATGTAGACTGTGAAGGGACAGGAGAAATTTGCTTTTGGGGACGCAACATTTTCATGGGTTTCCTCAACATGGAAGACAAAACAAGAGAAGCTTTGGATGAAGATGGATGGCTGCATTCTGGGGACTTGGGGAAGGTTGATGAAGAGGGTTTCTTGTACATCACAGGAAGGATAAAAGGTAGCATAATCCCATCAAACAAAACTATTGTGAGAGTGTAACTGGACATTTTAGGTCACTGACACACACTGTGGAAAGAGCATGGTGTTCTGGGCAGAAATAAGACTTCTTTCTCTGTGAAGTGAGTCACAAACAGCTGAAATGTCAGGTTGTCTACGCCTTGCATTTAGAGTTGATCATCACAGCTGGAGGAGAGAATGTTCCACCTGTTCCCATAGAAGAAGCAGTAAAGAAGGAGCTACCCATCATCAGCAATGCCATGCTGATTGGAGACAAAAAGAAGTTTTTGTCCATGCTTTTAACCTTAAAGGTAATCTGCTGTAATTGTTCTGATTTCTCCAGCAACATAGCATGAATAGTGACAAGAGAACTGTTAAATGTCTTTCTCACTTACAGGTGTGACAATGATCAATTTAACCCTAATGTCATAATTTCTATGTATATGATGTTGGGATTTATCCCGTTTTTCAGTGTTGTAGCAATACCGAAACCATGGAGCCAACAGAGGAACTCAGTATGGAAGCTGTGGAGTTTTGCAGACAGCTGGGCAGCCAAGCAAGCAAAATGTCTGACATAACCGGTGGAAAAGACAAAGAAGTGTACCAGGCAATTCAAAAGGGGATTGACAGAGTCAACTCTGCAGCCACCTCCAACGCCCAACGCATACAAAAATGGACCATTCTGAGAAAGGACTTCTCTGTTTCTGGAGGAGAACTGGGTAAATTCAGCAGAACAGTGTTAAAAAAAGATTAATACTATACAATAAAGGTTTATGCTGGTATACCATAATATCAAGACCATGTAACACAATACAGGTGCAAGTTGTATCGAATCAGTTGCACACTGCAGAGAATCTATAAATGATTTACTATTTTCTTGTTCCAGGTCCTACAATGAAGCTTCGCCGTCCAGTTGTCTTAGAGATGTACCACAAAGTTATAGAGAGCCTTTATCAAGGATAAAGTCACTTTCTACTGTGTAACTGTTAGTATGAAATCATGTGTCATTTTCCTTCATCTCATCCCCTGTGAACATGCATAAAATGTAATTACAGTACAGCACAAAAGTCTTGAGCCAACCCTCATTTCTTTTTATTTTGGTTCCAATGAGTCAGACTTTCTTGTCATTTTTTGAAGTGTTCTTGAGTGGTCAGATTATACAAGAACTGCGCTGAAAAATTGTGATTACAGGTGTTAAGGTATGATGAATCCAAATTTGACACTTGTGGTTCAAATCATCACTATGTACAATGAAGGTCAGGAGAGAGGTGCAACAGTGAGTGTCTGCAGCCATCTGAAAAACACGATAGAGGCTCTGTCATGTTTTGGGGCTGCATTTCAGCCATTGGTGTTGGAGGATCTTTCCAAAATGGATGGAAATATGAATGCAGAAGTGTACTATTGGAGTCTGATTCATAATCCAAGAGCATCTGGAAAGTATTTGACAATGGCTTCATTTTTCAGCATGACAATGATCCAAAGTAGTAAAAGCATTCCTAGACAGAAACAAAAACAAAATACACTTTTCAGTTGGGTTTGGCCTCCCAAGGGTCTGGTCCTAACCGTTCTTGAAGCAGTGTGGGATCATCTTGACACAGAATAAAACAAAGAGAACAAATCTGAAGAGATTTGAGATATCCTTCAAGAAGCCTGGAGAAATATTCCTGAAGACTATTTAAATAAATTACAAGAACACTTGCTTAAGAAAGTTGTGGCCATACCAATTTGAACTGTACAAACTGTTTTTGCCTTATATCCTGTATTTTCTTGTAAGTTTGCACATTTCAAAAAATAATTGATTTTCCATTTTCACTGCATACTATAAAGAAATGAGGGGTGGCTCAAAACTATTGTATCTATTCTGCAGAATGAAAAAAAGAGAACCACACATAGTGTTTAAAGGATATTTTATTTAATAAGTTTAAAGTTACACCATTTTAATGCAACTTTTACCTTACCAACACTGATTTTGACTTCTTTAAAATGATACCAATCATCTTGCCTGACAGGAAAATTGGTGGAAGTGCTTTATAACATTGATGAGAAAGACATGCTTCTACCCAGAAATCAGTTATAACAGCTATCAGAGTCATTTGAATAACACTGAATAAAAATTATGGCATTTCTCATGTCAGTGTAATACCAATTTTACAATAATTACATAAGCAAACAGTAAGTTTTCAAAAAACATTTAGTGAAAAAAATCTCTAATGTGTTTACAGATGGATTATCTAAGCAACTAAATGTGAAGCAGAGTTTGACTTCTTAGCATATGATTTGTTTGTCAAGTGGAATTTGTGGCTGTGTCTTCAAATACTATTGTCAAATACATTAAACACATTTCACCAATAAATAGATAATATTCACCACTGATACACAGGAAAATCACATATGCATATTCCATATACACAAACCACTGTTAACACAGTTGTTTGGATTGTGCAGAGAGAAAAATTAAACATTCAGGATCTCAAACTCCTGAGTAGTTTTTTCTTTTTTGGTTGAAATGTGCGGATACAGCATGATATGGTCAAGTGGGCAAAACCCTAACAATTAACAAACATATCTCACTAATGTCCTTTTAGTCCATATCCTTCATTCTCTGACATATTGCTTCTGTGAATTCTGAGCACTTTGAGTTCCCTCCCAGGTCTTTGGTCAGAACCTTGAAGATGAATAACATAAGCATTATAAATTAGAAAACAGGTGTACACCATATAACCCAAACTGCAATTCTCCAGAAAAGAAGTAATTACCTTTCTGTCTCGAATTGTGTCAAAACAGGCACTTTCAATCTTCTTGGCATGCCCACGAAGACCCATGTGCCGCAGCATCATGACTGCACTGAGCAGCAGGGCGGTGGGGTTAGCCAAGTCTTTTCCTGCTATATCTGGAGCAGTTCCATGAACCTGATTTTACAGAAAAAGTTGATATTTTTAAAGAACAACAAACACAAATAGACTGTGGATTTTCTGTGCAACTTGTATGTTGATCATGTATCTGCAACTTTACAAAAATGACCCCATACCGACTCAAATATGGCCACACCATTTGCACCAATGTTTCCACTAGGAGTCACTCCAAGACCTCCAATTAATCCGGCACAAAGATCACTGTAATGGTAAACACATTGGGTTACCTTTAGATTTCATAAAACATATACTGGATTTAACATAAATTCATAACATGAATGAGCAATCACATTTTTAATATTGTGTCAATATTTTTGTTGCTTTTTTACAACTCCAGACAATTTTGCTGTCGCCCATGTGTGTTTCAGCTCTCTGTTTTGTATGCTAACTAGTGTGTGCAGGGGTATTCTTGTTCACAATGAGTACCTCCATGGATTGCTCTTGCTCCACCTAACCACTGTTGATACAGGCTGGACAAGTGTCTGATCTTATGCACCACCAAGCTGCATCACGAATCATCACAGCTGTTTAAAGGGATATCCAATTTTCATTCAACCAGGCTGTGACTTCGAGTAACTCCTTACTGTTTTGTTTGGTGTTGGCTACAAGAATAGGGTTTACTACATTTACCATACTGCCTCTGTAAGGACCAGTTAGGTGTTAGTTTTTTGTTAGAGACACTAGGTTTAGAGGTGCTACTACTACTACTGTATTTTTGGTATGAAAACATAGGATTTAATTACACTTTTTTCTTCATTTAGAACAGTCAGGATCCACCTCCTCAGCACTCTCCTGTTCATTCTGTTACCTCCCTTTTTCCTAGTGAGCCACAGTTGAAAAATGTCGTCTTTGATTGATAAAGTGCAAAAGAAAAGACTCATAATTTGCCTTGTTCTTATGAGTATTTTAACATAAAAGATTTACTGGTGACAGTTGTGTACCTTAAGATATCTCCATACAAATTTGGCATCACTAGTACATCAAACTGTGTGGGATCCTGCACCATCTATAAGTTTGGATGAATAAGGACATTAAAAGAAAAATACAGCAAGCATTCTTTTATAGCAATCTAAAACATATTCGGACTAATTTACCACAAAGCTATTGGGACATACATTAAGGCACACGGTATCCAAGTACATCTCAGTGAATTTCACATCTTTGTACTTTTCAGCGGCCTCTCTACATTTTCGTAGGAAAAGTCCATCTGACATGCGCCTAAATGAAAAAAAGAGAAGCAAAAATGTAGTTTCAAGCAGCTTCACAATGACAAATGACTTAACTTGTGCTAAAATATACTTACATGATATTCGCCTTATGAACAGCTGTAACACTGGCTCTCTGATTGTTTCTTGCATATTCAAAAGCATACTCTGCAATGCGTTTGCTGGCTTGTTCGGTGATGAGCTTAATACTCTGTACAACACCATCAACAATCTGAAATAAAAAGAATGAAGAGTGAACACGACTACAGTGCTGTGCAAATGCCACCCCTCATTACTTGGAGATAATTTATCCAAATTTCAGGAGTGGGACCACACCTCATATATAAACCTCCTGCATTGCAAGCTGTTTGTTATTGTTTTCGTGCCCTATCCTGCCTGTTTCAAAATTAATTCACCTCTCATTAGTGGCCTGAGACCCACCGCCAATCCCTTCTGAGGCCTTCCCCAGTCTCAATTCATGCTTATGCCATCTGCTGTTATCTTAAAGAAATGCTGTCAAACCTAAATGAAGATGTGGTCCCTGCTAGGTAATTTATATTTTACTTTAGATGTTTAAAGTGGTCTTGACCAGTAGTTCTTTGAGTTTTCTTTCAAAGTGTATCTTTGGACTGAAAATGTGTGAAAAAGCAGCCAATGTTCAGTCTTTGTCCCCGACCATTTTCAGAGGGGTGTTTTGTTGTCTTTAAACTTTGTTAAGAAGCAGGAGTACCCAGAAAGAGCCCACACATGAAATTAGTGAAGTTAGGGTAAGTGGTGATTCTAAATTGCCCTTGGGAATGAATTTGATTGCGAATGGTTGTCTGTTTCTTTGTGTTTGCCCTGTGACACACTTGGGACCCATCCAGAGTACATATCACATCTTGGCCTATGACAGCCGGGATGGCCTCCAGCCCACCTGTGACCCTGAGACAAGTTAAATATGAGCACAAAAGTAACCCATGGAGTGTTTTCCCAGGAAATGTAAAGTATAAATAACTGCTTAACCCTTTAGTTTAACAACAACTAATGTAGCAGTAACTAAACCTTGTAACTCATGAGTAGCTGCACAATACTGTCAAATAATAAAACTGAACAATATTTTCTACCTGGGGTGATGTAGCTGGGCTCGAGTTTTTTAACCACTTGCTTAAGGCCTTTTTCCCCATGTTTGGACTGGCATCATAACTGTGGCCTATTAAGAGGTAATTTCAGTCATTTCTCTTTCTATCATATGGAGTGTAACTAGCAAGCAATGTTCAGTTGAGACATTTGTTTACTTTTGGCTTGCAAAACTTACCTTTTCCTCATTTGTATTCAAGTTGTACTCAAGTGGTGAAATGTGTTTGTTGCTTCCAACATTAGTGGAAACAATTTTCAGAAATGTTTTCTTTTTTTAAGAAGCTCTGTTTTTTTCTGCAGTAAATTATAACCAGAGGCCGAGATTGACTCTTTCTCTAATGTGCCCAAGCATGTCTTGCAGATGCCCACACCAGGGATGTTATGCAAGTGTCACTGCTTTAGCAATGATATCATGATATAACATTTTTATTTGATGTAAAAGTTTTATACCGGTATGATTGCAAATGATACGATATGGGAAAAATCTACTCTAACACACCGCCAATGCAGTAAATGTATACTGGGTAGGAAAAAACAAACAGTGGAACACTATTGGTCATGGACTGGCCTCTTCAGAGCCTGGACCGCAACATTTCTGAAGCAGTGTAGGATCAGCTCAACCAACATCCAAAGAAAAGGTTTGAATGTTCTTCCAGAAGCCTAGAGAACTATTCCTGAAAACTGTTTAAAGAAATTACAAGAAAGCTTGTCAAAAGGTAATGTTAATAAAGGTCTTACAACATGTTCAATTCCACTGTATTCTCCCTCGGTGTTCTCCCTGATTGTGACCAGGTTCACATCAGTGTAGGGGGTCTGGTAGCCCTCAATGGACACGCAGGGCCGCACATTAGCATAGAGGTCGAAGGTTTTCCTCAACAACAGGTTCATGGAGGGATGGCCAGCAGCTATTGGTGTCTTCAAAGGGCCTTTAGATTGTTAAAGAATTCAAAAATATTTCATGTCAAACCAAAAGAATATATCTAAAAACCTGGTGATTGGTTTGGAAGTTTTTCTCTCTTAAGCATGCCAAATTAATTAATGCCCCTAATAAAATTTAATTTCCAAGCTGCTGATGTGGGAACACATGAGAGTGAAGTTCCTGGAATAAAGAGATTAGTACATATTCCCAATATACACACCATTACCTAGAACTGTCCTACTGTTTAACTTTGCCTTAAAAAAACAAAACAAAAAAACCCCCATATAGATAAATCAATCAGGTTACCTTTCAGGCCAATTTTGTTCTTGTCCATTGATTCTTTGGCATCTGGAGGTATCATCCACTTTCCACCAGGTCCCCGAATGGCTGTAACATTTCTCTCTTCCCACCGAATAGGTGCCTATATCAAAAGGACATTCAATTCATTCTTTT